GTTGCATAATGGACAAATGCATATGAATTCCACATGACTAAAAAAAACAAACATACAAAATAATCATTCTCAGAAAAACTTAGTAGAGAATATTATAAAAAAAATTTTAATAGAACGTATTTTCGTCTATGAAAAGTTTGAGGAAAATTTTCTAAATTAATTCAATATTTAATTCTTACGTACACTACTGGTAAAATATAAAAGCTCCATGTATTATGATTTTTTTTCTACTATGTCAAGCGTTTTACTCAAATACAAAGAGTCACTAGAATAGCCAATGAAGTTCGCTATCAAATTTATTTCATATCAAAATTTTATAGGTGGACTATAAGAGGAAAATTTCTGAAAAACAAAATACGATTATCTTCAAGTTCTAGAAGACGATGTGGAAAAAAGTCTCTCCTTAAAGAGTATAAAATTTTGAATGAAATAAAGGGTTGCCGCATTTTCTATGATCTTCTCCTTAAAAAGTTATAAGCATTACAAAAGAAAAATAAAGGATTTTAATAAATTTCATTTTTTATGATTCACTTGAAGAGTTTCATTTTAACTTACTCGCACATTCTTGTACACGACCAAATCGTGAAAAAAATTGTTGTAATTGTTGTCGAGTAGCTGAACTCGGAAAATTAGTTACATAGAGTTTTGTCTCTATAGCAGCAGCCATCTAAAATATGAACACATTGTAGTATTCATTTGTATTTTCTTTTTCTTTTCTTAACATGAAATTTTTATTTTTTATCATATTATAACGTAGATGTTCATTTCAAAATAGAAGAACAAAAAAAATTAAGATCGATGTTACAAAAAAAAAAAACAAGAAAACAAAATTTAAATCTTTTGAAATGAAGCAATATCAACTGATTGAACTTGATCTTCAAATTCCATAATACGTTCTTCAAGAATATCTGTACCAACCTAAAATATAATTTTAAGTTAAAAAGAACAAAAAAAACAATACACAAAATAATTTAGAATAGTTACTTTATCATCTTCAACAACACAAGATATTTGTAATTTCTTAATTGTATATGCAAGTGGTACAAGACGAGCTTAAAATAGATTTAATTAGAAAATCTTTAAAAAAAAACAACAACAACTAATTGCAAACTTACAAGCACCCCAAAGAAGTCCATCTAATTCAATTGAACGAACATTACGTTCAAGTTCTTCCATATTTGTTTCATCATCCCATGGTTTAACCTAATTAGAAGAACAAAAATTTCTTTTTTTTTTTTTTTTTGAAAGAAGAATTTTTTTTTTCTATACATCAAGAACAATGGTACTTTTAGCAACAATAGCTGGTTCTAAAGAACAACACATAAGAGAATATTTATATATCGAGAAATTTTTTCTATATTACTTTTAGCTTTTTTTTCAGCATAAGCAGCTAAACGTTGTTTTGTTTGTTCACTTTCTTCTTCATTTTCATCACCAAATAAATCAACATCATCATCATCAGCTGCTGCTGCTTTTGCTTTTTCAGCTGGATTAACAGAAAGTGATTTAAATTCATGTTTTTCTTGACGATCTTGACCAGGTTTTCGTCCATAATTATCAATTGATTGACGTTCACCTTGAAATCTATTTAAAATATTAACATATTATAATCGAATAAATAAATTTTAAAAAAAATAATCTACTTTTTTTTTTCTGCATCACTAAATGAACCAATATGATTGTACCAACGAAGAGCATTTTCAAATTCATTTGATGGAGTTTTCTTTACAGCTTCGAATACAACAACATCACCTTGTGTTGGACGATATCTATATTAAGAGAAAACAAAAAACAATTAATTTCAAATATTAAGAAATAAAACAAACCCTTCGATGTAAGATTTATCTGCAAGAAAAGTATTGAGTAAACGAAGACCATCAGCAGATTGAAGATCACCGAAGCCCATTTTTTTTTCAGATGATGAATGAAATAGAAAATGACTCTAGAAAAAAAAAGAACAGATCAAATAAGGAACTTCTTATATTTCTTAGTTGTTTTTCTTCTCGTCATTCATTTGTATAAATCAACGAACAGGAATCCATAGTTTATTCATACAGTTGTCGATATCATGCAGTTATTTATTTTCTTTATATTAAAATCGAACGATAATTTAAAAGAAAAACAAAAAACTTGAAATGAATATGAAATAATTATATTTAAAAAAAGATAATTAGTAAAATATTGATTGAATTTTGTTCAAAAGTTTATATTTGTTTGAGCAATCGTAAATGCATAAATGATTTATATGCAGAGAGGTTTTCCATACATAGAGAATTGCAGAATGGTAGATGATAACTCATATCAGATTGCTGAATAGTGCGTCATTTGGAAGTATAAAACGTGGCGAAAAATGCGTGAATCAATTTTGAATACATTTAGTAAAGCGACATCTAGATTTGGTGGAAATATACGTGAGAAAAGTTAGCAGTAGATTCAAGTTTTTCTTACTGACATTCGCTCGAGGACTTGTGATGACCCTCTAATGGGTTATGATTAGAGCTCATCAAAGTCCTAGAATTTCGAGACTTGGACCCGATCCAGAGCTGGTCGGTTACATGTTTTTGCACCTGAATCCGACAGTAAATACAGAGTGTCCCAAAGTCCATCGAGAAAGTTAACGTAAATATCTCTCATACAATCCAAGAGATTTAATTGATTGTTTAAAATTTTGTTCTGTATACTGTCAGATAAATATCTGTGCCTATAAACATTAGAACAAAAATAATTTTATAAATAGCCAAATTTGAGTCACTCATGACTGTGAAACGAAAGCTGCAACTCGAATTCATTAAAAGCACACCGAATGAAGATTCCATAAAATTACATTTGAATGCTTCTTTGAAACTAGTACAATGGAATATCTTCAAAAATTACAGAAAATTCGACGAAGTTCATGGTGTTTATAAAAAATGAACTACAACCAAGAATTCGAACTGTCACAAAGGTCTGCTCCATTCTACGAGCAATAGCTAACCGAATTATAACTGAATATCTGTCATTGAAGCCGTATAAGGTGCAATTTGTTCGTAGAATGGAGTCGACCCTTGCGGTAATTCGAATACTCGATTATGGTTCATTTTTCATAATCTTCCATTGTACCAGTTTCAGAACAGCATTCAAATGTAACTTTAATGTAATCTTCGTTTGGTGTGTTTTTAACGAATTTGACTCGCAGTTTTTGTTTCACAACCATAAGTGCTTTAAATTCGGTCATTTATAAAATTATTTTTATTCTAACGTTTATAGGCACAGACGTTAATCTGAAAATATGCAGAAAAAAAACTTTAAAAAATATATCTACATATTGTAAATTAAAACAATTGAATTTCTTGAGTAGTACAAGAGATAATTTTGCGTTAACTTTTCCGAAGGACTTTTGGCACACTCTGTAGGCGTAGATATTATAGTCAAGAGAAGTTTTATTTTTCTTCCGATTTTCTTATAAATAAATTAAAGATTTTTTGAATAAAACGAAGGGTATGGGCGTGGGTGGATGTGCGTGTTAAGCGATGCAGTCGCAACCCACACCCTTCAACTGGGAACAATATATTATATAATATACTATTTTAACAAAGGTGTTACAAGTGTAGATGTAGATCTTCAATCAGATAATCGTAATAAAGAGCTTTTCTGTACCAAGCATACATCAGCAGTGTTCTTTCTTTGCAATTGTTAATTTGAACAGTACAGATCATAAAGTTTGAAGCAAACATCTTTTAATTTCTCAATCTGTTCAATTATTTCATTTATTATTTGAACTTGTATAAGTTCGTTTTTAATGAAATGTTTAAATTATGGAGCTGATAATTGATTATGAATAACAAAATGTATGTTGATGAAATATTGACAATCACTTATAGTCATTTCTGTTCGATTGATATGAGTTTCATGAATAGATCGCCATGAACGAAACAAAGAAAGATCTTATAGTTGGATATAACCGATTGATCCTTCGGGAAAAATCAATAATCGACTGTCTTGATTAGAAAATACTGCTCTAAATTCTGTTAGATCAGTTTGAATTTTTCAAGCATCAAGGTAGAGAAGAAATTTTTTACCAACCAATGGACGTAGAACTTCATTTAAAAAAGCGTGATGTTTTTCATCGCTGCTTTTTCTTGATTTTGAAGCTTTGACTACAACATTTGTTACTACAATCAAATCTTTTTGCATTCTTTTACCGTGTGTATTTTCTTTTTCTTGAAGAATGAGTAAGAACTTGTCTAACAAATGACCATTAGCTGATGTAACTGGTTGAACTGCATAAGAATACGTTGTATTATATTTCTTTTTAACATCTACTTCTGTTGTTCTTTCTCCAATAACAGAAAGAGTCCTTGAAGAGACGTATTCCTGTTGAAATGAATAATGATTGCTGTTTAAAATTTCGTCAGACGAATACTTTGATATCAAAGACCTTTTACTTTTTATCCAATTTTGAGCATCTAAAATGGGCACGCATATTACATTAAAACACATACATTTATAGATTCAATAAAAGATTGCATACCATTTAAACTGCAAAGTTTTCTGTTTGGTTTCGTTCGAGTAATAATTTTGTTATATCTTCTTGATGATATTCTGTTTTCCCATTTAAAAGTATTAATAAATAATTTACTTGCCTTGAATATATCCCAATTTAATTCTCTTGCTTTTTGAATTGCATAGAGTTCAAAGTTAGTATCATGAACAGATTCTTTTCAATTGTTTATTTCAACTAAAATTTGTTAAACATAAATTCTTTAATTTGTTTTACTTTTTCTAATCTTGTACCATTGTTTTCGATATATTGTCTAAACTGTGTAATATAATATATGAATTTGACCTTTTTAAATCGACAGGAAATAGTCGCCATTTTAGTACTCGAATGTTGGTCAACCCATTCGAGTAAATTTTCCATTTCTTCTAATGTAGAACGATTTTTTTATATCAGACTGTTCATTCTTGTTGTAATTATCGTTCTCTTCTTCATTAGTTATTTCATCATATTCATGTCAAATTCGAGAGTGTCATAAGTATACAACTCACTGAAATAGCTGTCTTTAAATGATTTCAGAACTTCGAATAATCGTTTTGCAACAAAAATTTCATCGGTAGTTGTTGCAGAATTTTCAGATCCATATTCGGTTTGAGGCAAATAAAGAAGATATTTAGCGATGTTCAATAAATTCATGTTTTAATTTGATGAAATAAATCTTTTTACTCGGTAGATATAGCAGAGAATAAAAGTGAATAATTCTTCGATAGTATATTTCTTTGTGATTTCTTTGCACCAATTGCAAAGAACCGGTCACTAGACCACCAAGTGATGCATCAATACACTTTAAGTTCAAATACTATACGTACAAGTAATTTTTCACACACATCATATATTTTTTTTCATTTCGATACTACTTATGTTTCAGAAGACATCGAAACTATTGTGATCTTAATGCTATTGATAAATTTCGGAAAGATTCTTGTAGCCTACTATTGAATCACTCAATTGATTGCATAAAAAATTAGTATAGAAATCGAATATCTTTCTCTAACCAAGCCAACAGCCGCTAATATTTTAACCTTGTTAGTTTGGCAGTGAGAGCTTTCGTATGATCCAAATATGTTCTATTTTTCCAATTATCAACACAAACTCTTCCATTGTTAGCAAATATTTTTTGTTGATATTCTATCTGAAACTTTTATCTCTAACGATATTGTTGTGTAGGGAAGGAGAGAGAAGTATCATCTTATATCACAACCCGTCAGGTGGCTTCGTAATCTGACCCAGGGAGATTACTTATATCTGTTATGGCGAAAGCAGTGTAGTGCTCTGGAAGGCTACTATGTTTGTAGGTATCCGTCGTCGGTATTCTACGTCATACCTACGTTCATTGCCCTATTAGCCTAGCATTGTTCGCTCTACGTATATCTATTTCAGGCTTAAGAGGATCTCCCTGATCACGCGCGTACATACGCGATAATGAGCTGGGAAAAGTTGCAGAAAGTGAATAGCGATGAAAACAAATTTATTAAGTAAACCCGTGTAAAAAGGAACAAATTTACATCTTCTTTTTCACGTGGTCAATATTATCTATCGTTGTTTGAATTAGAGAATGTGTTGACGGGAGTGATTTTCGTCGGATACTAAGTGCGTTTTCCAGAAATGGAAGTGCTTTCGAGTAATTATTCATGCCATAATGCGCCATACCAATGTTATTATAGGAAGTAGCCAAATCGGGATGATTTGGAGGTAGAGCTATTTTCGTAATTTCGAGATCTTTTTCGTAAAATTCAAGCGCTTTGGAGTAGTCACCCATATCTTTATACACTTGTCCAATATTGTTATAGGAAGTGGCCAAATCAGGATGATTTGGAGGTAAAGCTTTTTTCGTGATTGCCAGATCTTTTTCGTAAAGTTCAAGGGCTTTTGAGTAGTCGCCCATGTTTTTATACACTTGACCGATATTGCCGTAGGAAGTAGCCAAATCAGGATGATTCGGAGGCAGAGCTTTTTCTCTTATTTTAAGTGCTTTTTCGTAAAATTCCAGTGCTTTTGAGTAGTCACCCATGTTGTTATGCACTTGACCGATGTTACTGTAGGAAGTAGCCAAATCAGGATGATTCGGAGGCAAAGCTTTTTCGTAAATTTTATGTGACTTTTTGTAAAATTCAAGTGCTTTCGAGTAGTCACGCATGGCGTTATACACTACACCATTCTTGCCGTAGCAACTAGCCAAGTCAGGATGATTCGGAGGCAGAGCTTTTTCGTAGATTTTTTGTGCTTCTTCGTAAAATTCAAGTGCTTTTGAGTAGTTGCCCATCTTCTTATATACGAGACCAATGTTGCTGTAGGTGGGAGCCAACGAAGGATGATCTTTCGGAAGAGTTCTTTGATCGATTTCAAGTGCTTTTTCATAAAACGCAATCTCTTTTTCATATTGACCCTGTCCGCATTTGACGCAACCAAGCTGATTATAGATATATGCTGTATCACTGTCCGCGGATGTCTGTGCTAGTAGTGCCGTATACAATTCTTCAGCTTTGTCGAATTGACCTATTTTGAGTAGCAATTGACCCATTCGATACCAGCCAGTGCCATCGACTTCTTCTCGTATGCAGTCGGTTAATTGATGAAGCTGTTGATCGTCATCTGATGTGAGTTTAAGGTTCACTTCATAAAGTGGACGATTGTTGTGAAGTTTTCGAATGTCACCAATTCGAAAAATTGTGTGCATGGAGAAGAGAATTTCGTCTTCGTTTTTGAAAAAACTTTCCTCCTGGATCGAGGCAAAAGGAGTTGATGAGTTTGTAGGATCTATGGTCATTTGAAAGAGGATACCGACCATATCGGTTGTTTCTAACGCATCTTCGGCAAAGCCGAGCGAGACATGTCGATTTTTACTTGTGGATAAAAAATTATTGAATGCTACGAGTCCACCTTTATTTTTTTCGAGTTTTTCGAAGTCTGCAGTCAATAGTCCTTGCCCTCGAAAAACTAGAAAGGATTTCTCACAATATTGACTGGCCTGTTTTTTGTGTAAATCTTCGATTTGTTGGTGTATATCGCAGAGAAAAAATGCCATTCGGATGATTATATCGCCATCTAATGTTCGTAAGGCTCGATTGAGCATTTTGTATGTAAAACATTCGCGTGTATACCACCAAATAGCTAATGTTGGATGATAAGTGTGTTGAAATTCATCAATAAGTTCGATTTCTTTGATATTGCCTTCGTATTGTTTTTGGCAAAAGTTGACCAAGTCTTTGATGGTTCGTTGGCCATGTTCCATATCAAGGAGGATTTCCTTGAATATTTGTGAGTACATAAAGGATGGTTCTAGATTATTGAAATTATTGCTAGAACATTCTTCATTGGCACCAATAATACTGACCGTTGTCTTATTTTGATTGCATTGTTTGACAGCCATTTCCAATGCTTGGCATATGGATTTGATTGATGTGTGCACACCTTTAATTTTTGCCCAATCTTTAGCCCATGCTTGATGACGTTGCTTATTGCTACAAAAGATATATATGGTATCTAGTTGTGGCATACCATGAATTTTTGGTACAAGGTGTTGTCCAAGTGCACCAGAGGAGATAACGAATGCTGTCTCCTCCTTATTTTCATTGAGCCATTGAATACATTCTTCCACCATGCTGCAAATATTCACTTGATTGACAACACCACGCAATTGCGTAAGTGTATGTTGACAATCTTCATTTGCCATGTCAATATTTCCATCAATCCAGATAACCAAGTAATTTTCAGCCGAACATTGTGTTTGTCGTTGACTCATTTTCAATGTAATATTTGCTGTTCGATTGGTAATCGTGTATTGCAAATAATAGACTGGTGTTGGGACAGATATTACGTTTTCTATTTATATATTCGATGCACATTATTTTTTCTATTTTTTCCTACGATGTCACACATGTGGATTTTTTTTGTGACGCTCAGGGACAAACTCTACCTATTTTCAATCAGTAATACGGTTGTCAACAAGAAATAAAAGAGAAAAAAACCCAACAGCATCATTTATTTTATCGTTATTTTTTTTCACTTTCATTTGCGTTTCATGTGAACCGTGACTTAAGTTTCATTGCATTAGATACTTTATCTCATAGGTTGTATATTTTTCTTTGATTCTTTCAAAACAATCTTTTTTTCTTTTTTCTAATAGGAACGAAAAAAAAACAACGAGGACATCGTCGGTTTGATTTTTTTCTCATTATGCATATGATTGTCATGCTGATAATGTGAATGAAATAAGAAGAAATATCATTTCAATTTTAATTGAGACAACAATCAAACAACGGTTTCTACTTGCTGAATATACTGTTCATCATTAACCAGTGATTGGGGTAAAAAACCCAATTTCATTGTGCTCAACCGTCAGTGATATGTATCGCGCCTCATAATGATTAGAATAATAATAATTTGAATAACTGAAGTTCGAAAGTAATGAAAGGTCGAAGTACCTGTCATCAATTTGAAAATGAATGAAACACTTGCATAAACGCTTTGCACGTTGATATAGCAAACAAACAAAAGTTTTATACCAATTATTCTCGAAATTTCATCTAGAAAGGCACGCAAACTGCTATCGATTAGGTATTGCAATTATGAACTTTAGTTATGTCGTCTACTATTAAACAGTTCGAATTCGACTTCGAATCAATATTCAAAATAAAATTAATCTTTACTTTCTTTGCTATTTCAATATGTTAGTCGTCATTTGAATGAACATCACATATGAAAATTTATAGCTTGTTTTTGATTTTTAGGTGCCATACGTAGATAAGCAAATTTCATTTACATTTAAACTTATACTATACAAATACTGATATATTCATGTTTTTTTTTCAGTGAAATCAATGTTATCTTGAGGATGTGTGAGTGAGACTACGAGAATGAATATATCATTACTAACTGTTTTGCTAAAGTAGTTTTTGATTTATATTATATTCGTTTGAAGTATGTGTATAATAAAAAGAATTTTTATTTTCCTTTCGTATTCTAACTGCTAGTTTTTCGTGAATTTTTACGATTCATAAAGAAATAATATTCAAATCTTGTTTGTTCATATTTAAGATCCACACAATTTTAACGCGTACGTTATAATGACAACGAGAAAACTTCTGTCCTATGCAAATATGTATCACTAGAACTATGTTTATTATAAGCGTATATCAATGAGAAACATATTAGAAAACATCCGTTAATTGATAACTATTTTTTGTTTGTATGCATGCGAAAGAAAGTCATATATATTTGCATACAATTGATAAATAATGAAAAGTATCACTGGCATTTTTTTCAACTACAACAAGCAGAGATATTGAAGATATAAATGCTATTTTTCACAATTCAAAAGTAAGAAAAGAAAATACCATCATTGCATTGCATGCTTGATGTCTTTGTTCAAACACAGAAGTTTGTTTCGCGAATAACAAATATTAGTTGTTACGTTGACTGCATGCTTCTCTTGAGTTTCTTCTGAAAATGCAACTATAACCAACAAGATAGATCAACAAAAAAAGCTCATTAATAACGAAACAAAAACAAACACAAAGCAATTTTTACTATGAGTATCATCGGTTTGTTTTCTTTCATTCGTGTCTGTACAGTGAGTGAAAATGTAATGATAAAATATGTAAACAAAGAACTGTTGAAGAAATGTAATATTGTATTTTTCTTCCTTCGTTGCTCTCTTTCTATGTGATTGCATCTCATAAAGATTTTTTTCGTTACTATCTATCTATGTTCGTAAATCGTGTTGACGAGTTCGAATCAATCAAAATGCATTAAAAATTAATTCAACACTGTCCATTGCGTTATATTCATTTCGTTTCTCTTCATGCTCATTGATTCACAAGCATTTAATGTCGCGAAAATCTATAGACCAAATATGATTAACATTATATGGAAATCCCTTTTTCTTTTGCTCTGACAAGGAGGACATTGAAAAAATTGTCATGATGTAAACAAATGTTTTTTCAGAAGTTTTCTTAGCTTTCACAAAACGTATATATTGAAAAATGAAGAACATATTAGTAAGGAATGAAAGAACGATAATATCGAAATTTGAACTTGGAATAAATAATGTTTAAAACTTTACTACTTTTTTTTGTAAGTTGGCGACTAAATTGACTATTCGAGTACGTGAGTAGAGTCAAATCCGAAAAGGAATTCATTGGCGATCAATGTCTACTAGTTGATTAGGAAGAAAAAAGTGAAACTGCCACAAAATATCATTTTTAAATGAGACATGCATGCTGTCTTTTAACAAGAAAGTCTTCATGTTCTATTAAAGACTTTGAAACTCTACAAATAAACCTAGAATATGATCAAGAAAAGTACATATGCGGTAAAATCAATCCATAAAATACATAGCTGTTGAACATTTGTAAGAGTCATAGTTTCCTTCATCATAAGGTCATTGGCAAAAACAGAGATGACTGCAAATGATTATCTTCTCATTTTAATATTATTGATTGATACAATGACGAGAATTAAAAACAACGTTATCAGCAGTGTAATATATCCAGTAGATCATCGTCGAGATATGAGAAAAACAAGAGTATCTATCATGCACATTTACAACTGGTTGATATCTTTAAATCTATTTAATAGAGCACAATCTACATCAATTCAAATTATCACTGATGAAATTTTATTGATTAAAAAAGACAAAAAAAAAAATAATAATACACATATTTACACAACTGATCCTACAGGTTCTCCTAGATGATGTTCGGATGAATTATTATAAATTTTTTCAAAACGTTCTAAATATTTATTAATATCATTCATTGATAAATTACGTTGATAATCTTGTTTTATAGATAATTTTTCATTTGAATATAATGATGGAGGTGGAAGATGAATTTGTTCTAAAAGTTTTCGTTGATTATCATTTGAAATTGTTGGATAAATTCGTTGTTCACGATTAACAACACGAGGTAATGATGTTGTTGTTGTAATCTAAAAAAAAAACAAAAGAAATCAAAAATTTCTATTAATTCTTTTTTTATATTCAAATTTCTTACATATTCATTATCAATTAAACAACTATCAGGTGTTGTTGGTGAAAGATTTGATAAAGATTTTTTTGTTGATAATTTTCCTTGATAACAATTAAATAAAATTATAATAATAATTAATAAAATAATTATTGAAAGTATACAAGCACTAATTAAAATAAATGTTGTTGAAATAATTATTGGAATTTCTTGTTGATTTAATTTTTCATTTGATATAAAATCAAATGTTATTTGTTGTCGAGTTATTAAACGATTTGGTTGACCAAAATCAGTT